AACTAATAACACTAATAACTAATAAAGACACACAGTAATCACCACTGTACTTAATAACAGTAACTAATAACACTAATAACTCATAAAGACACACAGTAATCACCACTGTACTTAATAACAGCAACTAATAACACTAATAACTAATAAAGACACACAGTAATCACCACTGTAGAGGTGTTTCTCTCTGTAGTCTGTTAAACTGTGTCCTGTGTTCTGTAGTACAGGATCCATTTCTACCGGCGGAATGCGATCGTCTTATTTATGAATTATTTGCGTCTGTACATTTTGAAATTCAGATTGTGACGTCATTATTAAATAACCCAGAATATGATTATTGTTTCTGTTAACCCTAGCCCTATTTTTAGGCCTCTGCATCCCCATACTAAAAATACTGTAAATCTGTAACTACAAGGTCTATTTTAATAATGTTGTTATATTACAGGTAACAAATGTGAGATTTATTCAGATGTGTAAATATTGTGTATATGTTACTGGTTAGTACAAAAGTATTATGCAGAATAATATACATTATATTTTAGATACATTAATATGTCCATCACTTGAATGACTGCTGGTAGTTTAATATTAATAATACATAATGTATTAGTTGATATATTTGTTGTGTAATGTTTTGCCTGTAATGAGTTTAATAAAACAAAGATATTTCCTACAAATAATCATAAAATATGGAGTCTGAAAAATAAAGAGTCGCTGTCGTCAGATCTCAGAGCTGATTGGCTGTGACGGCGGTGCGTTCAGGTTCGGCTCTGTAAAGAAGTGAACGGACTGAAGAAGACATGTTTTTCTGTTCATCACAGAGTGACTTTACAGTCATCAACAAATCACACAAATAAATAAAACGTTGATACAAACTTTTGTGTTTTTTTTATAAAAGATTGTTCAGACTGAAGATACAAAAGGTTAGAAAACGTTCCTGTTGGTTCAAAAAGCTAGAGAAACAAAGATAAAGTTAACAAAAGCTTCACTGAAGCGCTCCTCCTTCAGCTCCGGTTTGGTCTCCTCCACGTCACACAGTCATCAAAGCTTCTCCACCAGATGTATCTATCAGCTGTGACTCGCTGCCGTGGAGGAAGTACTCTGATCTTTTACTTCAGTTAAAGTACTAATACCACAGTGTAGAAATACTCTGTTACAAGTATAACTATTAGCATCAATAGCTACTACTTCTGCAGAATAATATATATTATATTATCATATTCATTTATATACTGCTGGTAGTTTAATCTGTAATAGTACATCAATCATTAGTTGATTAATAATCTGAATCTGTAAAGTAACAAACTGTAAAAAGTACAATATGTACTTCTGAGCTGTTGAGAAGTGGAAAGTAGCAGAAAATGACAGTAAAGTACAAGTACCTGGAAATTGTACTCAGGAACAGTACTTGAGTAAATGTACTTGAGTTCTATAGAATTGCAAACTTAATTATAGATAACGTTGTTATTAACGGTTTTTATTCCTCATCTTCAAATTACGTTTCTCTCGTAAAATAAAGTGAAACGTTTGAAAACACAAACATTAAAGTATAAATATAGCATCATCATTTAAATGACTTTTGTGTTCACTGAGTACATCTACGATGTAACTTCCAGTACAACTGGGACCAGTTAGCCTCATTTTCAGTGTTAGCATTAGCTTAGCTGGCTACAGCTAACATATGCTGTTAGAACTACAACTAACATATGCTGTTAGAACTACAACAGAGCCCTTTGACATCACCGAGTCATTCGATTTATTGACTGAGAATATTAATCAATGCAGCTTTAATAAAACAGTGGAGAGTCTGTCTGCAGAGTCTCAGTCTGAAGAGCCAATCAGAAGCAGAGTCTCAGTCTGAAGAGCCAATCAGAAGCAGAGTCTCAGTCTGAAGAGCCAATCAGAAGCAGAGTCTCGGTCTGAAGAGCCAATCAGAAGCTGGTCTCGTTCATGTGTGGTTTGGGGCTGGTGGGCAGTCCGGTGGCGGGGCTGTCCGGACTCACCGGGCTCTCGGGGGAAGCCGGGTTGTCGTCAGGAGACGTCGCGGTGCCGCGGCGAGGTGAGGCAGGCATACTGGACCGCGACGGGCTCACGGCTGCGGGGGCGGGGCTTGTTGGGGGAGTAGGCGTGGTCCTGCGGTGCGACAGAGATGAGGTCAGAGGCGACGACGGCGACGACATGGACGAAGGTGTTCCCGGGGAGTGGCGTGCACCGGGTGACACGGAGAAGGTGGTGGGGGTCCTGAGGCCAAACCTGGCCTCTAGCTCGGTGCACACCGCTAAGCTCCGCCTGCTGCCCTCCGAACCCACCGGGACCCCGAACCCAGAGCCCGCCGCCTCTGAACCCTTAGCGAGCTCCTGGCAGCGCTCCACGAAGCTCCCCCTGCGCACAGACCCCCACTCTTTGTCCCGGTCCAGGTGTCTGGGGGGACAGGGGCTGGCGGTCTGGTTGTTGTGGCCGGAGGCGGAGTTGTGGGCGTAGGCGGGGATGTTGAGGGTCTGCGGCCCGCTGAGGGCGGAGTCCCGGACAGGAGGTTTGGTGAGGGGAGCGGGGGGCGGAGCCTGCCGGGGGAGGCTGCCGCACAACGAGGCCGACGAACCCGAAGCTCCGCCTCCTCGTGCTCCAGCTGCAGAGTGGAGGCGTTCCATCCTGAAGACGTCCGTGAGCTGAGAGTGAAGACTAGAAGGGGGACAGGAAGTCACATGACTCATCTACAACAACAACAACAACAACAACAACAACAACAACAACAACAACAACAACAACAACAACAGAAGCATGACCAACGCGTGTGCAGGCGGTTACCTGCAGGTGGAGGCTCTCGGTGTGCTGTCAGGTGTTCTGGTCAGAGCCAGGTCGCACTGGTCCAGCAGCTCCAGCAGCTCCTCCTCCGTTGGCCCGCCCAGCGCTGTGAAACAAACCAATGAGAGCGCCCCGTCACTCCTCCGACCATTCACAGAGCTCGCAGCCGTTAACATGCGAAAAGAATCACACGGCTGTTTTGTAACGGGAGCGCTAACGCTGCCGTCCTCTGAAGGGGGAACAATAAAGTTTGTTGAAGACTCTGACCTCTGACGTCGACCTTGCCGGCGATCTCCATGGCGGTCGTCAGGTCCCACATCTGGATGCTGCCGTTGCCGTGGCCACTGAAGAGGTAGCGACGAGGCCGAGAGCCGATGCGACTCGAACCCTCGCACTCGTGGACCATGAAGGCCGTGATGGAGGTGGTGTCCACCGAGCGCACCTCGCACACCCTGACACACACACACACACTTGGTTCAACTCATCTGTTCTCTCCTGCCAGCCTTATCATCAACACACACACACTCACCTCTTCCCGTTGGACGACAGCCTCACGTAGAGCTTATCCGTGTCCGGTACGACTCTCTGGATGAACACCTGCTGGTCGTCTCTCTCTCCGTACGGACCTGAACCCACAAGACACCTGTGACCTCCACAGGAACATACTCTACCACATTCACATAAATTAGTCGTGGGCTACACAGCCGCACCGGTGGGACCTCTGCTGGACAACAGCAGCATTACATGAGAGACCAGCTTGTGAAAAACATTGAGAAACAAACTTGAGATTTGACCCCCTGTGGGTGTTTGTGTTACCTATCTCTGTGCCGGCGCTGCAGCCTCCGTGTCCGTCCACGTCGTCCAGGCTGAGGATCTTGAAGGAAGTGAGCGGCGTGGACCCCGGCTGGGTGGAGATCATCCCTCTGAACCGAGTCACCGTCCACGTCCGCACGTGGTTGTTGTCGGCACAAACTGACGGAAGACAGACGAGGACAACTTCAGAGACACTTGTCTGGACGAGTGTGTCGTACCCGAGACCAGACGTCTCTAGGAGTCGTACCCGAGACCAGGCGTCTCTAGGAGTCGGACCAGAGACCAGGCGTCTCTAGGTCTCGGACCAGAGACCAGGCGTCTCTAGGTCTCGGACCAGAGACCAGGCGTCTCCAGGAGTCGGACCAGAGACCAGGCGTCTCTAGGTCTCGGACCAGAGACCAGGCGTCTCTAGG